GCAACCGACGAAGCGGGGCGGCCGCTAGCGACCGAGGAGAAAATGGCGGGGCAATTGCCCGCCATTTTCTGCTCGAGGAGAGACTGGGGAAATTGCTGATGGGAAGATGCATGTTCGGAGCTTCGTTTTCCCACCCCCCGTCGTGCAGGCTTTTGTTCCAAGCGATCTCAAGTGTTCCGCCGCGAAGTACGACGGCGCCCCCCTGGGGGGGGGACTTCGGGGGGGGGGGGGCCGGCCCTAAAGGCCCGCCCGTGGATCCGATGAGGACGGCCCCCGTTAATATGACTGGGTCGGTTATGCCCTTGCCCGCCGCGGATAGCGCGGCCGCCGGCCAACCGATCCCGTGTGAAGACGGGGCGGTTGCTGCGTTCTACGCAGGCGCGGTGCCTGCAGCACTTGCGCTTAGTAAGCGTCGCATGTTCCATGCCGGCGCGGCTCGCATATTTCGCCGCCGCCAACTCTGGGCACTCGCTTTCGGTCATTGGTTCGCAGCTTGTCCTTCGCAAGAGCGCGGGGGCTTGCCGGGCAGATCGCGCGACGTAGCAACCCGCTTTGTCATGTCTCCATGCGGTTTGCTATAGCATGCTGGTATATGTTGTAATATACCATAATAAATGGGCCCCCAAGGAGGGGCCCTGGGGGTTCGATTCTAGGATGGGCCCTCGGAGGGGGCCGAAGGTTCTGGCCTTCCAGGAAGGGCCCTAGGAGAACCCCCGAGGGTTTGAAGCCCTCCAGGAAGGGCCATGAGGCCATTGGAGGAACCCTCAGGGTTTAGCCTCAAGGGTTTTGAATTATCAGACCAAAAATACCAACATATTCGCAATCCCCAGAAGCGGAAAAACTGCCGCACCGTCCGGGGGCTACCAGGGGCCAGACGTGTTAGGTCAGCTCAGAATAATAATACCAGACGCTCGCGCGATTTGTTTGAACAGCGTGCGAACCCACGTGCGTCTTAAGGGCCCTGCCCTATGCGCGGGGCCCCGTGGACCTCGCGGATGGAGACCCCCGGAAAGACCCTCGTGGACTGGGCCGCGTGACGTGGCAGACATGCGACCTCGAACGTGCGGGGGCCTATGGGCGAGACGGGCGGGGCCCTGCCAATGGGGCGCCGGGGGCGGGGCCGCGCGGGCAGGCACGCTGACGCGCTTGCGACTTGGCAAGGGTCGGCATCCCCCTCGACTCACTCGCGTTTGCGGCGGGTGGGTCGCGGGCGGGTCGCGCGGCGAGACGCGGGCGGTTGCGGGGGGTGGGTCGCGGGCGGATCGCGACGCGAATGGCCCTACTATAAAGAAAAGCATATTCAATCATATCATAACAGGAACAACAATCACCTTTCTATCAAATATCATAGTATCGCATATCGTAATATACTATGACGACAGAATGCGAATATGGAGGCCCTCGCCAGGGAGGCGTATTGTGGAAGGCGCTGGGGAGAGGCATGCGACGTTCCTGGGCGAACTCGCGGAAGGCCTCTCCGCCCGCGCCCCGTTGTTGAGACGGCCCAGCAGAGCCGACAACTTCGGGGGGGATATTCTCAAGTCTCCCATTTCGCGCCCGCGACGCAAGAAATCAGCGCCCCAAGCGCGGGGGCGCCCACTCATGGGACCCCGGAGGGCACCCCGCTCGGAGGCATCGAGCCCCGAGCGAGGGCGCGCCCAGCTCGGACATTCACACTGAGCCCAGGCGCGCTCGCAGCCTCCAACCGCCAGCGGCAATCGGCGGCTATGGCGCGCAAATGTAGCTCGCTAAAAATTGCAGTGCGGGGGGGGTGGGGGTCCTGCGGCCCCGCGTGCAACGCGCGCGCTGCTCCGTAGATCGCAACCAAACTCATGCGTAGTGGCGCCAGAAGAGATAACGCGAAATGCGCCCGAGGCGTGCGACCCTCTTGGGCTGCGGGCTCCCTGAATGCCTGCTCAGACCAGGTCGATCCTCCTTTCGAGCTGCGCCTTGACGGCGGCATCCCGAGCGAGTCGCAGCTTGCCCTTCGCGGCTTTGCGCTTTGCCATGGCCGCGCTCTCGACATTAGATAGGACGGCCGTTCAAGAGATCGCATGATTGGCTTTCGTGGCTCTGAACTGTGGCCTGCGTTGGAAATTCCCTGCGTCGCGCGAAGTGATCGGGGCTCAAACTTCCCCCGCCAATGCTGGGCAGGGGCCCCCTGCGCCGGCGTTGGATAGGGCGAGCCATTCTCGTTCGCTGCCCCCGCTACATTGAATATTCGATGGCCTCGGTCCAAGTTGGGGGGGGGGGAAGCGCGGCCCCCAGGTCCCGGCGACTTCTGCGCCCGCCAAATGATCCGCCAATGCATTTCACGGCTGTCCTTCGCGGCCCTTCCCGCGCCTCGCCAAAGGGGCGTGGGGGGGCGGATGGTCGGGCCGTCGTCTAGATGCTGCAGCGCTGGCGATATCGTGCAATATCTGCGTCGTCCGAACAGTGATTGTTGAGTTCGCCACTGCCGACGACCCCAGCAAGCTCCGGGCGGCGCCCGAAATGTCGGCGAAGACGGCGGCCTGGGAGCCGCGCCCGCGACGATCGCGCGGAGAGCCCGCGAGGCGCCCGCGCGCTCCTCGCCGGCGCTCGCGAGCCCAGCTCGGGCGCCAGGCGCGAGATAACCACCCGGGAAAGACGCCGCCCATGGCCCCTGGAACGAGCGCCCAGCAGAATCATGGCGCGGGCGAACCGCGGCCCGACCCAGGCCCAAGCGCCGGTGCCCCAAATCATCGACCCATTCCGCGAAATCAATTAATTACCTCGCACCAGGGGGGATCCCGATGATGGCGCAAGAGGAGAATCTGGAAGCCTCTGCAAGAAGCCCCCCGAAACGGTTCAGGACCCAACCCATTGCCGGGGCGCGGCCGAGCATTTCCAGCGCGGCCGGCCCCCGCTAGAAGGGGCGCCAGAGGTCGGGGGGGGCGCGTCAGGGGCAGTTGCCGGCGTCGCTCCAGCATCCGCAGTATTGCCCGAGGAAGCATGACCAGCACCATCGGGATGACCAACACCCCCTATCCTCCGCCTGCCAACCCCCTCCCTCATGAGAGGGCGCCCGTCGACTTCAACGGATCCCCGCTGAAAGACTAGCGCCCCCTGGGACAACAAATCCTGTTGAGTGTTTCCGTGTGCGGGAGAAGATGAACGCTCTAAACTCATCGAAACATCGGACCTCCGGTGGGATTCCAAACGCGATCTCAGGTTCGCAAAGGAGCGAACGGCAGGGGGTCTCTTCGCGTGGCTCAGCCAAAGGGAAAGGGGCTGAATAAACTTGATCGCGCTACCCCCACACGCGACACTACTCCTGGTCGTCCTCCCGCCTCGGCGGTTTCTGACGTGGGTTTCGACCACTTTCTTCCTTCTCCCCCTGGGGTACCATGGGTCCCGGGCGGGGCAACATGGGGCCCTCCCGGGAAGGCGTGCTCGGCTGGGTCTGGCTCGCAAGCGGGGGCCTGGAATATCTTCCTTGCTTGGCTCGTCTCCCGCATCCGCCCTCGACGACCCCCGTCGGGGAGAAGGGCGGGCTGGGCGGGGCTGGGCGCGATCACCTGCGGCTGGCTGAACGGGCGCGGCTGCTCCGTCGGGATGGGTGATCTACTCCTAGAAGCTGGGCGACTTGGAGGTATTGGCGCCGCTGTGCCTCCTATCGGTGTCCGCGGTGCGGCTGCTGATGGACCTGAGGTCGGTGCCGTCGTTGTCTCCTGTTCATTCTGAGCATTTCTTCCAAAGCTCCTGCCCTCACGAAGCCCCACATGCGATGCCATATCAGCGCTTGGCTCCTGGATTGCCCCAGTTATGACACTCATCTGCGTCGGCAACCTGCTGTCTCCCCATCCTCATTTCCAGCATCTGTTCCGCCTGATCAACTTGTGCGTCCTTGTCTGCGGCTGGCGGCGGTGATGGCTGCGGTGGGAACGCTTTGGCTGCTCTTGCGGCCTGTGATTCTGATGCACGTGCTAAAGCTTGACCGACTGTGGGCCATGCACTGGCAGGTGGAGGAACTGGCATCGATGCTGGCGGAGGCTGCACTCCTCCGAACTAGCCATCTTCAGGGTGGGCACCTGCTGCATACGCGCGTGGTTCTTTATGCATATCACCTCCAACCAGGTAGTCGCCCAAGCCTCCCCCCATTCCTCAATGGACCTGTTCCATAAAACCACATCACATCCTGCCTCATTTCGTACCTGCTTCAGATTGCTTGCCAATGCGTTGGTGCGATTTAAGAAGTTACTGTGGTTCAACTCCGCGAGGTTATCGGTGAACCTGATTGTGGTCCCCATCGTGAACTTTAGGCACGCAACTTCTTTCAGGAGGGTGTCGCCTTCTCCCCCGCCCATCGGCCAATGTCGAAGGGTCACCTGTTGTTGCGTTCATTGTGTTATTTGGTGGCCTGCGTCTCGTTCCAGGTCGCGTCGTGGCCATTGTGCCACATGCATCACGGGGCTTCGGATCCAGTCACGGGGATGTTGCGACCAATGCGCTGCTTGATATTATGGCCCTTTCTCTCGACGTTCTTCTGAGTATCGGGGCGGCAAAGCTGACGGTGGGAACGCGATCGGCACGAGCATTGCGGCGACGTCTGCTCTCTGGACGATCACGACCGGCGGTTGCCGCATATACATCCCGAGCGTTTTGTGGGTGACACATCTCCCGCAACCGGAATCCCACGGTTGTTGGGGACGACCCACCATACCGCTTCCTTGGCGCGAGCTAAACATCTAAAAACAGGAAAGTTGTGATGGCACCGAAGGAGGGCTTGGGCCTTGCAGGGTGGCAAGAAAACCCGAGCCTGGCGTCTCTTGAGCCAAAATGGCTACGGTCCATTCCTCCTCCTCCTCCTCCTCCTCCTCCTCCTCCTCCTCCTCCTCCTCCTCCTCCTCTCCCCCCTCCTCGTACTCCTCTTCCTCCTCCTCCTCCTCCTCCTCCTCCTCCTCCTCCTCATCCAACTCCTCCCGCTGTTCCTTCTCCTCCTCCCCCCTCCGGCCACTTCTGAGGGCGCCCCCCGCGGCCTGTCGACGGCGTCTTGCCGCACGGCACGGCAGGGGTCCAGGCCCTGACCGTTCCGTCGGAGCACCAGCCCGCACAGGGCCGGGGACGGGAAGTCCATGACTATGATGCCTCGCGCGGGGGACGACGGGGGTGGGGCGACAGGCTCGAGGTCCGAGGTTGCCACGCGTGTCCGAAGACTCGCGACGGTCGGGTCGGGTGAAAGGGGGGGGTAGCAAAGGGGGGGTTTGAGAATCAGCTCACGTAGCTGATTTTCCCGGCGCCTCCCGGCGCCGGAGGCGGCTATGTATCGAGGAATGGGCCCCTCGGTGGGGCCGAAACCAGCTACATGCAGCAGATTTCGTAGCCCCCCCTTTCCCAAACCCCCCCTTTCGCCCGACCAAAGACGGTCTTCCAGCCTCGGGGCGCTCTCCAGCAGCTGCGCCTCTCGCCGGGGAGCGCGGTGCCCGCAGCGTCCCGCACGGCCGCCGGAGGCTCGGACTGCAGGCCCGGAAGCAGCCGTAGGCGGGGACTCTCTCTCACGCGGAAGGCGACGCGCGCTCGCTCGGCCTGCGGGATCGGGAGGAGGAGGAGGAGGAGGAGGAGGAGGGGGACGAGGAGGAGGAGGGGGAGGAGGAGGGACGTGGCCAGCTGGGGGGTGGACCGGATCTGCCTGCGTGGTGCGGGGGGGGGGGGGCAGGCTCGTCGTGGACGCGCGTCGGTGCCCACTTCGGTCACAGGTCGTCCGCTGCGGAGCCTCTGCCACTGGTGGCGCACGTGCAGGCAGGGAGAGAGGAGTCGCAGGGGGATTGACGGGAAGAGGGCCACGACGACAAGAACAGAGGGGAAAGGATTGAAGAAGAGGGTGAGGATTTGGATGAGGATGAAGAGAAGGAGGAGGAGGAGGAGGAGGAGGAGGAGGAGGAGGAAGAGGAGGAGGAGGAGGAGGAGGGAGAGCCACCGTGGCCTGAAGGCGAGTCCTGATGCCACCGACGCTCGGAGCGCCAGCCGTGCGGCACATGCGGCCCGCGTGGCAGATTTGGGCGTGTGGAAGCCGTCTACAGGGACAGCACCTGCAGATGTGTGAAGGATGTGACATGCGAGCGCTGCTGCTTTGACGGCCTGGGGACGAGAGATCTCGCAGTCAGGCGTGCCGTTCTCGCCCACGCTCCCAAGGCCAAGCCAGCAGAGAGGGTCCGATGGAACGACGAGCCGCGTCCAGCTGAGGGCGGCGTGGGGCGGAGCCGCGGACAAGTAAAATCATGCGATATCTGGTCCCTACATTGAGGACAGCTGAACAAACAATCACGCTGATGCAGTAGAACCTGCATGTGCCTCCTCGTGGAGGTGGACTAGGAGGAGGACGAGGAGGAGGAGAGGAGAAAGAAGAGGAGGAGGAGAAGGAGGAATCAGAGCACAAACAAGAAAGCACAGGAGGAGGACGAGGAGGACGAGGAGTATTGGGGGAGAAGCAGCATGAACAAAAACGCTACATGGGCAGGCTACGCCGAGGAAGGCAATGACGAGATGACGGCGACTCCAGACATGAAACACGGACGCGCCAGAGGCGGTGACTACATATGTGATTCCTCGCCCTCCTCCTTCTCTTGCTCCTCCGCCTCCTCATGACCGTCCTCCTCCTCCGCCTCCCTCCTCAATCTCCCTCGTCCTTCCTCGTCCATGCCCTCCTCTTCGCCTTCTCCCCCTCCTACCCCTCCCTCCTCCTCCTCCTCCTCCTCTTCCTCCTCCTCTTCCTCCTCCCCGTTTTCCTCCTCCTCCTCCTCCTCGTTCTCCTCCTCCTCTTCCTCCTCCTCCTCCTCCTCTTCTTCCCCCTCCCTCCTCCTCCTTCTCCTCCTCCTCCTCCTCCTCTTCCTCCTCCTCCTCCTCCTCCTCCTCCTCCTTCTCCCCCTCCTCTGCGCCTCCCTCATCACTGATTCTCCATGCTCCCGGCCCCACGATTCCTCCGTCTCGCCCCCCGACTTCCGCCTCCCTCTCTATCGTCCTCCTCGCGTGCCTCCTCGCTGCCACCCCCGCCCTCCTCGTGCGCTCCTGGAAGGCCGGCGTGGGAGAGGACAGGGCCCACGAAGCGACCCGGCAGAGAGAGGTGCGAGGCGCCTGACGGGGGGGGGGGGGGGGAACAAGTATTGTGACTCATGTGCGCAGCCTGGTGGCGCTGCTGTGCCTTCTACTGGCGGGGCAGCCCTCCCCCACTCGCAGGCCCAGGCCTCCGACGTCGTGATCGCTCACAGCATGGACCCCCAGAGGTCTCGCTCCCTCCCGCAGGCCAAGCGCGTCATCCTGAGCACGCCGTTGCTTTGACGGTCAGGGCTCGGCCAGGCCCTCCAGAGGCAAGAAGCACCAAAAAAGTCCGTCGGTGTCTTCACGACGAGGGGTGTTGGGGACTCGTGTCGAAGTCCAGACCCGTGCGTGTTGCTTCCCAGGGCTCCCACAGCCCGGGGCGTGGTTCCAGGACGGCCCTAGACCACCCTAAGCCGGGCTGCATCATGCCCCAGGGCTCACCCCAAAACGTTCTCATGAGGTCCTGGGGAGGCAGGCCAGAAATATGGGGACCACTTGTTCCAAGCCGTTTGTTGGCGGCGAGAGAGGGGGGGACTTGAGAAGGGGCGGGCCTTCTCAGAAGGCTCGGAAATCCTCCGGCTCAGAAGGCTCAGAAGGTCAGGATATCTGGTATGTGAGGCGCAGGTGAAGCCAATGCCGCCCCATTTGGCGACGGCGCTGGCCGACTTCTGCACAGAAGCAGGGCCCGTCGCTGATCCACGCGAGCTAATCCATGTGTGCGTTTCCCCGATTCTCCAAGGCAGACGTACGATGAGGGAAACGAAAAAGTACCCATAATTACCGCTATTGCCTGGACCTCTTCCAATGTGCGTTCTGACCTGACTTTCGAAGAGAATCCGGCCTGGGCAACGAGGGATCTCCAGGACGAGCATCAGTACCGGTGCGTATCTCTCCGCCCCCCCTGCACGACTCTGTCACCGCCCTCCGCTTCCACCGTCCTCCGGGGATCCTCTGCTGGCTGCTGGCTGCTGGCTTCCGCCAGGGAGGAGGCGCTGACCAGACGAACTCCTCCGAGAGACTGTATTTGCCAGTGCTGTCAGGCAACAGTCGCTGCCCGAGGGGGGCGGGGGGGGGGGCCCTGACCAACGGTAACGCTTGGGCGCCCTGGTGGGCCACGTCGGGGCGGGGGCGCACCGCGGCCGCCAAAGCGTGCACGCGGGCGCCAGCATGTGGGGGGGGGGGGTCCAGGCCCTCCCCCCACGTGCAAGCTGGAGCAGTGGGTCCGGTGCAGGGGGGGTCCGCGGAGGGAGAGGGTACAGTGGCACTTGCGCAAGAGCCCGCGCCCGGACGCAAGAGAGCTCGCGCGCCAGCTGCGGCAGTCGCGCGCGAATGCACCTGTGCACACTGTCCGCCCTCACGCGCAAGAGGCCTCCTAGATGGGGTCGGGGTAAATGGAGTCGGAGGATCGCGCCGCACCGCCGAAGCATCGGCGATGCATCGGCGATACAACGGCGATGCGTCGTCGACGTCGGCGATGCATCGGCGCCGTCGACGTGAAGCAAAGCGGGCTCCGCATCGAGCTCCGCATCGAGCCGCATCGCCGATGCAGCGGCGATGCGGCGCGCTTCTCCGACCCCATCTGCTCCGACCCCATCTGGGAGACCTAGGGTGCAACAAACCGCGCCCTCCCCCTGCCCGCAAGAGTTGCGCACCCGTGCACGCAAAAGAGCAGACAACTGACGACCGATGCCACCTCTCGCCGCCCATCCCCCTCTGCGCCAGACCCATTACTTTTAGCGGGCGCAGATGCGGTATAACATAAACGTTGCCGCCGTCGTAGACGCGCGCCCTCCTCGGGCGGCTGAAAGTTTTACCCCTACGGCTACGCGCTCGACCATGGACCCTGGGCCGTCATCGGCGGGCTTCCGCGGTCTTCGAGCGGTCTTCGGCGGTCTTCTGACGGTCTTCTGACGGTCTTCGGCGGTTTCAGGCGGTCTTGGGCGGTGTCCAGCGGTCTTCGGCGCGAAAATTTGATGGCTGCGATCAACCGAGGGTCCATAATCGAACACCTAACCTACGGTGCCACGTCGGAGTCTAAAATTTCAGCCGCCAAGGGGGGCAGGCGGCCACGATGGCGGAAACGTTGATGTTATGCCGTTCCTCGCCCCTCTGAACTGCTCCATCATTCGGCGGCGAACGAGGGGGGAAGTGAGAAGGAGAAGGCCTTCTCAGAAGGTTCGGAAGCCCCCCGGCCTTCTGAGACATGTTCTGAACCTTCCCCGAAGACACAGAAAGCTTCCCAGAAGGCGCGAGGGCTTCTGAGATTCCCCGCCGCCTTCTGAAAAGGCCTTCTCCGTCTCACTTCCCCCCCTCGCCCGCTGCCGAGAGACCTCTGTGCACGCTCCTTGCCGCTACCGGGGGGCAGGGGTGGGGGCCCAGGTGACGACCGTTGCACGCCAGAGGGTGGAACACAACAAAACGAGGACCCGGGCGCCCTCCGTGGCACGCGCGCCAGCCGACCACTCCGAGACTAGGGAACCGAGCTCTATACACCGACGCTTGCTCCAGCCCTTCACTGAAGTTTGCATCCGGGCGTATACGGGGTCCTGGTGTATACATGTTTCGTTCCTACCCCAGGAAGCGGAGCAAACAAGCATACACAGCACCACCCCCGACGTCGCCCCCGACCCTCAGGATTGAACAACAGGCCGCCACTGGCAATGTATATGCTCCAGTTCCCGAGGGACACCACCTGCGAGAGAAGGCAGCAGCTGGAAGAAGAGCGGCGCGCCGAGGAATCGCGCGGCTCCAGGTGCTGCCCTGCCCGGGCTGCCCTCCGCTGCGCTCTGAGGCAGGTGCGGATAGAGAGAGGGAGAGACTGGCCAAACAACAATCAATGGCAACCGGTGTAAGCCTCCTGGCTCTTGCGAATCGACGCTAATCGACGTTAGTCCATGCTTATCGGCGCGAAGTCGACGCAAAAGCAGCGTCCACTCATCGATTACCAAACACTAGCTTACGCCAGTGCATTCGGAAGGCTGAAGTTTGATTTCATTTGGTCGTCCCCATGGCGCCCAATAGCGCGCCCAATTGGGCGCCTTCGGCGCTACTGGTCGCTGTTGGGCGCTATTTACCCGCTAGTCGGCGCCACTGGGCTCTATTGGATACAAGTTGGGCGCTATTCTCCGGTACACTGTCAACCCAAGACGATTGTAAACTTCTGTTATTGACATTATAATCTAACTGATCCGGCAGGTTGCCTGGAGGAAGAGAAAACCGGGCCATGCTAGCTAGTTGCCCGAGGCGGTCACTTGCAAACACACTTCCACGCTCTCTCACGAGTAGGCACTCTTAGACAGACGTAGTCGTAACCGACCTGCGTGGAATCCTCCCGTCATCCTCCCCCCCTCCTCCTCCTACGAACTGGGGCAGCCAGACGGAAGGCCTGGCTTCGCTCCCATGCGAAGTCCCCCCTAAATCCCCCAGCCCCCCCCCGCTGCAATCCCGAAACGGGCGCGTTCGAATGCCGCCACTGGAGGCCCCTGGCGGCGCCTCTGGTATGCTGCCGCCACGGGAACCGATGCTGGAGCCCCCCGACGGCGCCACCGGCACCCCTCCCTGGCGCGCTCCCGCGCGCCAGGCAGGGGGGCCCAGCGCCGACCCCAGAGGCCTCCGCGCGGACCTCCGGCAGCCGATGCCTATAATATGCCGCGCCTTCTGCCTCGGGCGGCCCGCCCTTCGGCGCCGCGGCCGAGGCCGCGCCCTGGGAGCCTGGCCATCGCTCGGACGTCCATTCCCTGTGTTGTTGTTCGGTTTCGTGCGTGGCTTTTGCGCCAAATGATCAAGGATGCTCCTCGATGGTACTCGCCGAAGGAAAAATGCACATGTCCGAGCGATGACAAGACCCTGGCCGAGACCGCGCCCAAAGGGAGCGCTCCGCGGAGCGGTGGCGTCGCTCCCGGGGGCTTCCCCACAGCGGCGGTGCGCGGCGCCGGGCCGCGACGGGGGCGAGGCCGCCGAGCAGCCCAGGGGGGCCACGCCCAAGGGAGGAGGCCGCGGGCGCCCCCGGGGGGGGGGGCTCGAGGGCGCCCGGGGCGGGGGCGCCGACGTGCGCCAGGGGGTGCGGGCGGAGCCGCGCTCCGCCCCTGCTGGCGGCGGGCGGCCGCGCGCCCGCATTTGGCGGCGGCGCGCAAGAGGGGGGGGGGCAGGGAAGGCTTCTTAGAAGGAGCATGCTTCTTAGAAGGAGCGGGCCTTGAACCTGTAGACAAGGCCCGCGCCCTGTGAGAAGAAGGGCTGCTTCTGAGACGCCCTTCCCCCCTCCCCTCCTCCTACCCCCTTTCTGCACGTGGCCGAACCATGCGCAGTGCCCACCCCGAGGCCCAGCTCGTCGCCGAACTGTCGTGCAGGGCAGGCAAGGCCGGGAGCAGAAGAGGAGTGAGCGCAGGGTCGACTGGACGCCAGAGCTGGAGGCCAAGCTCGTGAAGCTCGAGACGCAGACGCACGAACTCCAGCGCGCGCTGGACACGCCCTCGTCGGAGCTCAGAGCCTGCAGTGGCGCCACGGACTTCCAGGAGGCCAAGGACCAGACGAGTGTGGCTGCAAGCACGCGCGATAAGACAACCCGCGATAAGAAACATAGGTAATTGTAATATAAAAAATCTGGAGGTACATGCTTCGTCGACTCTGCGCTTCGCAAGGTACCCCAGGGCTCTGCGGACCTCTCGGGAGATACGACATTCTCGTTGGGCACCCGTTGTCAGGCCAATATCTGGTGAAACAGTGTGCCTACGGTAGGCCGCTCGTAGGGAGTGCTGGGGCCGACGCTATCACTTCGCGGAGCAGACCAATGCCTGTCGCCAACCCTGCACCCTTCCTTAGGTTCTACGGTTGGAGTTCCGGCATAAGGAATCTTGCGGAAGAAGCGAAGCACATTGGAGGCTTCATTGCGCTGAGGTGCACGAGGAGCGCCCAGAATAACTGCCAACACAAAAGCCTGAGGAACAGAGAGCCCATTCCGAGACCAAAACGGACCTAGCCCCAGAAAATTTGACTGTACGCCCATTCTTGCAAGCCGCTGTGCTCGCGCTGGCCACCGGCCAATTTCGCTGCGCCGCTCTGTCAACGAAGCATTCGGTCGGGCATGTCCCCCTACAGAAAAATCAAACATAGTCGACTGATATGCAAGACTATGAAAAAAATAATACAAAAATCGTCCCTGGACTATTGTCTGACAATTTGTTTTACTTCTCCCGTGGAAGGACATGCCCAACTTCAGCGAAGCAGGAGTCGCACACCCTCGCCCTCCCCATATGCCCGACCCCGCGCTCCGCAGGTAGCTCGACAGCTTTGGGTTCACGCTGCTGGCGATGGTCATGGGAACCTGCAGAAGATGCGAGCGCTGTTGTTTCCCTCCCTAGCGTGGCGCTCGTCACCCGGGCCAAGCCTCCCCCCCCACCCTCCCCGGGTAGCGCTGACGGTCGTACTGGGGAAGTGGCCCAGACCCCCCCGACAAGATGCGGTGCACGCAACCGATGGATGCGTCCGTGGAGCGGACGCACCCCGGCGGGTGCACGCCGCGCCCGCCGTTACCGCTACCCTCCCGCCCGACCCCCCCCCCTTGAGTAACGACCGCCACCCGGGAGGCTGGCCATCGCTCGGACGTCCATTCCCTGTGTTTTTGTTACGGTTTCGTGAGTGTTTTTTTCGCCAGATGGTCGAGGATACTCCTCGAAGGTCCTCGCCGAGAAAAAAAATGCACACGTCCGAGCGATGCCAGGGAGGGGACAAAAAGGCTATATGCCTTGGTCTTGCACTCCGCATGAGACCTCCGTACCACGAGCGGCGCACGCATCCGTCTCCACACGCTCGCGGCCCGGACTCCGGGGCACGCTCTCGTGGACGCGCGGTCGCACGGATGCGCTCCGCGCGGAGCACCCGCGGCCAGAACGCCCCCGCACCCATCGGGGTCGCGGCCCCAAGGAGGAGGAGGAGGAGGAGGAGGAGGAGGAGGAGGAGGAGGAGGAGGAGGAGGAGGAGTACGAGGAGGAGGAGGAGGAGGAGGAGGAGGAGGAGGAGGAGGAGGAGGAGGAGGAGGAGGAGGAGGAGTACGACAAGGAGGAGGAGGAGGAGGAGGAGGAGGAGGAAACGACGAGGAACTGCTGCAGTGCCGTGGCGGCGGCCCTGGCGACACCCCATGCCCTGCAGCCGGGCATCGCGTGCCTCTCTTCGCTCCGCGGGGCGAGAGGCGGGGAACTTTCCTCGAGACGTAAGCGCTCGGGGACTGGGCGCTGGGCAACGCGTCGCGCCGAATCGCGGCAGGCCAGAGCCGGCAGCCGCTGCGCCCCGCGAGGACCGAACGGAGACAGCGCGGGCGAGTGGATGCGGCGCAGAGGCCGGCTGGTGGTCTCGATTCCCGCCCCCGTCGTCAGCCCGGCTCCCCTCCCACTGCATGCCTCGCAGCAGGTGCTGGGACGGCGAGGCGACCAGGAAGATCGGATCGGATCTGCTCGGCCTGGCGCGTGTCGTGCGTCGTGGACCTGTACACACCGTGTGCTCCGGTGATACTGTTCACCCACCTCCTACCTCAGACCATTCGCACAACTCGTGTGCGAGGTCACGGGTCACGCGCGCCGTGCAGCTGGTGTGCACACGTAGGACGAGGAGGCGCAGGAGGAGCAGGAGGGAGGTGGAGGAGAGAGGATGACGATGAGGAGCAACTATTTTGTTGCGCGCCCCCCCCCCCCCGGTACAGACGTCGAGCTCCAAGAACAAGGGGTTATTGACCCTCCCTCCCTCCTTCCCTCGCCTCTCTCCCTCTTTGTCTCTCTCTCTCTCTCTCTCTCCCACTCCCCCCTCTACCTCTCTATCTCTATCTCTCCCTCTCCCTCTCCATCTCTCCCGTCTCTCTCTCTCTCTCTCTCTCTATATATGTACTTATGTCTCTGTCTATTTCTCTCCCTCTCTCTCTCTCTCGCGTTGTCGATGTCTCTATTTCTATAGATATTCCCCCCCTCCATCTGTCGCTCTGTTTTCCTCCGCCAGCATTTCCCGATTATCCCCTTCTCGATTCGCCATCCTCCGCTTTGCATGCCCTCTCCCCCATCGCCTTTTCCACGTTTCCACGTAGCTCCCCGTCCCTCCTCTCGCCGCTTCTCGTCTCTGTCTTTCTCTGTCTCTCTCTCTCTCTCTCTCGCTCTCTCTCTCTCTCTCTCTCTCTTTCTCTCTCTCTCTCTCTCTCTCTCTCTCTCTATATATATATATATGTGTATCCCTCCCGCTACTGTGTTTGCTTTTCTCTCTCTCTCTCTCTCTGTTTCTCCTCCCTCCCTCCCTGCCTAGCCTCTCTCGCTCATCCTCTCTCCGTCTTTATCTGTTCTCTCTCTCTCTCTCTCTGTTTCTCGCTGTTTTCCCGTTTGTCGCCTGTCTGTATGCAACCACGTGCAATGTACATCGGTCAGTCGCCCCCTCGCCCCTCTCTTTATCCCCCTCCCTCTTTCTCACGCACGCAGGTGCGACGCTCGATTGCACGCTGCGGACTGGCTCGCCACCACTCGGCGGCCCTGGTGCACCACAGCCGCTGCGAACGTATCGGCACCTCGCCGGACTTCACTGCCCGTCCCTTCTCCTTATCCCCCCTCTCCGTCCCATAATCAGAGCCCTTCCTCCTCCTGTTCCCGAGCCTCGTGCTCATAATCCTCCTCCTCCTCCTCCTCCTCCTCCTCCTCCTCCTCCTCCTCCTCCTCCTCCTCCGCAGGGAGAGGGCGGTCCACAGGGACGCGGCCCTCTGAGTGGCAGCGGCCCGCGGCCGCCCACCACCACGGCCCCCTGCGCCTCCGCAAGACGCGCAGGGAGTGGGGGCGGTCCTCGGGGGCGCGGCCCTCGGAGCGGAGGCGGCCGCGGCGCCGCGGGCCCGCCTCTGCCGACAGCCATTGCGGCTGGGGTGTAACTCTTGTAACTCCTCCTCCTCCCCCTCCTCCCCCTCCTCCTCCTCCTCCTCCTCCTCCTCCTCCTCCTCCTCAGACTCCTCTTCCTCGTCCTCCTCCTCCTCCTCCGCCTCCTTCGTCGGTGCAGGAAGGCCAGTGCGCCCCGTGGCGCGGGCGGGCCCCTTAGACGAAGTGACCACAACCAGGCCGCACTCGGTCAGGCAGCTCGGTCGATCGATCCTCCTCGTCCCCTTCTCCCTGCAATTCCTCCGTAGATGTCTGTGTTGATGTATATCGATAGATATGTGTAAATATAAAAATGTAGAAAGATAGGTAGGCATATACATATATAGCTAGATCGATAGATATCAATAGATAGACTGGCCGTACTCGGCCCGACATCTCAGCCCGGCCGCTCGATCGATCGATGCTTCTGGTCCCATTCGTCCCCTCCACTTCCTCCTGTCTTCGCTGGCCGCGCGCGGGGCGACCCCGCCGGGAGCCTCGAGGGCCACCCGCGGCAGGTTCCCTCGGAGGCCCGCCCAAAGCCGACCCCCCCCCCACGAGGGCCCTTCGCACAAGTGCCAGAGCCGCCCACCCTGTGTGTTTTTCTTCCCCCAATGTGTTTAATTTGTTTTGTTCCCACGTGTGTTTTACGTGTGTGTGTGTGTGTGTGTGTGTGTGTGTGTGTGTGTGTGTGTGTGTGTGTGTGTGTGTGTGTGTGTGTGTGTGTGTGTGTGTGTGTGTGTGTGTGTGTGTGTGTGTGTGTGTGTGTGTGTGTTTGTTGTTAATTTTCCCCCCGTTCGGGGGCCCAGGCGAGGATGCGCTCTTGGAGTCGCACAGCCTCCTCTTGTCGCCACCCCGTGCGTGACCTCGTCGCGGTCGAGGTCGGGCCGTGGGCTCTCGCGGAAGCAGAGAGCTCGGCGGAGTGGTGTCGCTTGATGTTGTGTGTTGCGTGTTTGTGTCGTCTGATGTTTTTTCTCTTTTTTGCTTGAACAACTCAAAAATATTCAAACATCGTCCCCAGACTGTCTTTTGACTATTTTTGAATTTTCCTCCTGTAGAGGGACATGCCCAACTCAAGGATAGAGAGAACTGCCGTGAGCCCTGGCAGGGGGCCCGGCCCACGAGGGTCCGGAACGGCGGCCTCCTCGCCCCTCGGGGTATTGAGCAGACTGCGAGCCGGGCTGTTCACGCAATGCTCGCCCATCTGTCGTCGCCCTCGCCACGCGTCTTAGCTGTGCATCCTCGTCTCCTCCGACTGCAGCGTTGGATCGAGCTTCTCGTCGCGCACGGGCACTGCACGCTAGAGTGCTCAAGTGTAGAGCTGGTGGCCCAGGGTCGCCTCCGATGCTTCTCGCGCCTTGAGCTTGTCTGCCTGGTTGAGCAAGAGTGCGCGGGTAGCATACACGCCATCACCAGATCCCGCCGTTCGATGACTGGGCGATTGGGAGCCACTGCGCCCTCCTAATGAAGGGGAAGGTTAGGATAGAGATGGGGGGAGGCTAGGGCGATCGAGTTTCGTGGGTTGTTAGCCTCGGGGTGCCTTCCAGCGGCTGCGCTTCACCGAGAGCTTTCTGGAAGTGCCCGGATCATCCCGAACGGCGGCCAGAGGCCCCAGTTACGCGTGATCCGACGACCACCAGGGGACCAGCTCAGGGGTGGAACCATCGACCTGGAATCGGCGACACGTCGCCGAGAGATCTACGACGTGCTCCAGATGGCGAATCCGAAAGCTCCTGGGCTGGGTGGGCTATCGGGCCCCTTCTGGCAATGACTGGGCGATTGGGGGTCGACGCACCCCTGCACTATTTCCCCCGGGGCCGTAGGCGACCCGAGGAGGGGGAGGAGGAGGAGGAGGAGGAGGAGGAGGAGGAGGAGGAGAGGGAGGAGGAGGAGGAGGAGGAGGAGGAGGAGGAGGAGGGAGGAGGAGGAGGAGTAGGAGGAGGAGGAGGAGGAGGAGGAGAGGAGGAGGAGGAGGAGGAGGAGGAAGGAGAGGAAGATGGGAGGAGGAGAGTAGGAGGAGGAATGAGGAGGAGGAGGGAGGAGAGGGAGGAGGAGGGGAGGAGGAGAGAGGAGGAAGGAGGAGAGGGAGGAGAGGAGGAGGAGGGAGGGAGGTGGAGGACCGGGTCGCCCAAGCCTTCGGAGAAACCCTCCACGCATCCCCCCCTGAGCCCCCCCCCCCTCACCTCGGTCCGAGCTCGCGTCTCCGGCGGCGCCGTACGCGGGACGATCTCAGGGCCCCCCCACCCCCGGTGAGCGCTCTCCTCGGCTGGGCGCGGCTGCTGGAGAGAGCACGCCGAGGCTGGGAAGCTGCCGCGAGCCGCCGAACATCGGCGCCGAACGCCTCGCCCCAAGCAGTGGCGAGGCTTCCTGGCCTGCCCATGGGCCCACCAAACAGTTCTCTAAGAACCTCTCGTGGTCTGCACGAAATGTTCTTACAGTCGGACTCGATTGG